TTGCCCCCCCCCCCCCCAGCACCAAACCCTCCCCACCCGCACCGCGCCGGGTGCTCACCGTCAGCCGTGGGCAGGGCGGAGGAGAGGGTCCCCTCCAGGCGCAGGGGGTCCCCGCTGCCCGGCCACTGCGCTGCCAGGGCGTCCTCGCCAGCCTCTTGCTGCAGGACCTTGTGCTCTCCATCTGCACCCTTCTGCCTGCGCGGAGGCAGCTGCCTCCTGCCTGCGGGGAGGGACAGAGGCGCCTGTGTCCCCGGCACTGGTGGCAGCAGTGGGGACACTACGCAACTGCTTAGGGGTGCATGAAGGCAAGACCCCCCCCCCCCCCAATCTGGGTAGCCCAGCTCACCTGGGGCTCCCTCCTCTTCCTCAGAGACCCGCAAGACCTCAAAGCTGATCTCAAGCTCTTTCTCCACCTTCTCCTCTTCCCCAATGGCCCTCAGAAGCTCCCGCTCCTCCTCTGCTCTCTTGCTGGGAGCCCTGCGGGTCATCCGCTCCCTCTTCTCCTCCGCAGCCCCGGCTCGGCGGGGGGGCCGCCGCCCTCTCCGGGGCCGGGCACTGCCGCTCTGGCCACCAAAGCCCAGTGAGCTCGCCTGGGACGCCGTGGATTTGAGGGGCAGAGCTTTCTGGGTGCAGGATGTCTTGCGGGTAGCTGCGGGGGTCCGCCCCGCTTCGGGATCCTCCATGTCACTGTCATCGCTGAATGTCACCTAAAGCAGAGGGACAGAGGGTGTTGGCGCTGGCACCAGGCGCATGGGGCTGCCCCTCGCCTCCCTCCCTGCTCACCTTTAGGCGAGACTTGACTTTCCCCAAGACTCTGGGCGCTCGCGGGACCCGGGCCTTGCCAGCCGGCGGGGAGGATTCGTTGAAGATGGTGAAGGGAGTCCTGGGGCCGGGGGCTGCCTGCGCCTTGGCGGGGGGGTGGGTTTTCTGGCACGGGGTGCACGGCACCGTCACCGGCCGGATGACGATGGGGGCCACCTCACCGTCCGAGTCACCCAGAGCAAAGACGTCGTCGGCATTTGGCACAGCCGGGGGCTTCGCTCTCTGGCTCTTCTTCACTCTGGGCTTGGGCACGGCAGGGGCTGACGTCGTCTTGGTTTTGCATCTTTGGGGTTGAGCCTTGTCTGTCTTGAGGGTCTGGGGCACAGCTGCCACTTCGGGCTCTGCCGGAGCCAGCGTTGGCAGCTGCAAGGTCCAAGAGCCGGCAAAAACGCCATCCACAGAGTCGCCGTGCTTGGAGGCCAGGCGGCAAACGGCGGCCATGGCTTTGGCGAGCAGCAGGATGGCCCTGGAGACCTCCAGGCTGGGCAGGTGGGGTCTGCAGGCCGCCAGGAAGGTCAGTCCCGTCTCCAGCTCCTCCTGTAGCTCCTCCGCCAGCTGGGGGCTGGCCAGGCTCTGAAGGGCCAACATGGCATAGCCAGTGGCCACCAGATCATCCAGCAGCTCCAGCGCAGGCAGGTCCCGGCTGACGGAGCCGCCCCACAGCTTGTCTCGCAGCACGGAGGCAAAGCGGGCGGCCACAGCGGCACAGCGCGGCAGCGTGGCACGGATCAGCCCCAGCCCCTCGGCCGCGCTGCCCGCTGCCAGCTTGCCCTGGGCGCAGGAGAGGAGCCAGCGCAGGCAGACAGCCGAGAGCGCCAGATCAGAGCAGAGGCGGCACGGGCAGGCTGCCGGGTGGGTGAGGAAGGCCAGTTTCTTCCTCCTCTCAGGCTTCAGCTCCGGTGAGGTGGTGAGAGCATCCGCCTTCTCCAGCGTGCTCACCGTGGCCACAAACTCCATTGCAGGGCCCTTCAGGAAACTCTCCTCTTCCCTGGGGGGCTCAGAGGTGGGGTCCCGCGGCTTCTTGTCCTCACGTTTGCCCTTCCTGGGCAGGATCTTCGTCTGGCCTTTCTGCTTCTTGCTGGTTTTAAACTCTGCGGGTGGAGGGGAGGGTTATTTCGGCATCCTCGCTGCACAGCCCTCCCCCAGCTCCCGCCGCAGCCAGCCCAAGGAAGGACGTGGGAAGCTGGACCTGACACTTCTGCTTTCCCCAGCTACGCCTTTATCGGCTGGAGGAGTTGCTCGATGAGCCAAAACACGGCTCAGAGTCACCCCCCACCTCCGCGGCCTCCTGGACGACGGGGATCAGCTGCTGCAGCAGTGTCTGTGCAAGGTGGATCTCCCACCCCAGCCCAAAAGCGGGCGCAAGAGGAGCCGGTCCCTGGCGCTGCCCAGGCTTGGGGCTCACCTCAGTCCCCCCGTTCCCCTGCTCCAAGCCCGGAGTGGGGACTCACCAGTGTCCGACTCCAGGAGGAAGAGAGCCTGACAGAGGTCGAAATGGCTCAGCTCCAGCTCGTTCTGCTGCAGCTCCAGCTGGGCCTTCAGCACCAGGAAGGAAGCACACCTGGGGGGGGAAAAACAGCCCTCAGACCCTCCCCCCCGCAACAGCCATCGCTCCATCCCCAGGGCCGCACGGGAGGGAGGCAGCCGGCCAGCGAGGAACAAGCTCACGTCTGACCTGGCAAGCTGATTTCATGGGATATATAACACACCCCGGAGCAGCTGCTTGCTCTGGACCAAGCTAGGAAGGGGCCAAACCCACCCGCCAAGGGCCACCGACACCCGCCAAGGGCCACCATGGTCGCAGGGCACCTCACCCCTCACCGAGCTTCCCCCAAGCTCAGGGCCAGGCTGTCCCCTCCCCGTCTCCACTCACCACCGGATGGTTTGCAGTTTCATGGCCAGCTTGACGGCCTCCAAGCAGAAGGCTTTAGCTTTACACATCACCTCCAGCCTGCTGAGGAGAGCCACGTGGTGCTCCGAGCAGGCCAGCATGTCAGCCAGCACTTGCCACTTCAGCAGCAGGTTGTCCCCTGCCAGAAGGACAGGAAGGTGACCGGAGCTGCTCCTCCCAGAGAGGCAGGCAAAAAGCCCGACTCTTCCCCGAGGAGCGGTTGGGTTTCGGTCCACACGAGCAACCGGCTCACCGTAATCTACAAACTGGAAGTCGGACGCTGTTGTCTGACAGCACAGCAGGTTGCTGCCCGTCACCAGGAGGACAATGCTGCGGAAGAGCTTGTGGGCTTCGGCGAGAGCCGTCTCGGGTGTCTTCCACCCTGCGTGAGGGCGGTCGTGGGTATTGGCACCAACCAAGACCCTCCCCAGCTCCAGCAAAGAGCAACTCCCCCAAATTCCCTCTCCTTGCCCCAAACGGGCTGGTTTGGAGAAACCCAGAGGTCAAATGTTTGCACGGAGCTTTGTCCGCAACCCCTGTCAGCCTGGTGCTCACCGGGAGGGTTTAAAACATCCCCCAGGAGCTCACCTTGCACAAAGATCCACTGCTGGAGCTCTGGCGAGAGGCGGGCAGCGGGGAGGCTCAGGTAGACGGCCACCAGCTGAAGGACGTGGGCTCGCAGCAGGTACCAGACCTTTGTGATTTTTTGCAGAGCCGGGTTCTGGAGCACCCCCAGCAACAGGGTGAGACCCTCTTCAATCTGCAGAGGGAGAAAAAGAGTCACCATTCGTGGTCCAGGGTGTCTCCACGCCCAAAGTCCCTAGCGAGAGGTATTGAAACAGCCAGACAGAGCTGCTGCAGTCTCCTCTTGCCCTCCGACACTACTTCTGAGGCAGAAAAGGGTTTTTAGGAGCCTTACCCGGTGGTTGACGCAGCACAGCTGGCTGCGGAGCAGGAGGCAGGTTTGCTGCAGCAGCAGGTAGGAATCATCACTGCTGTCGGCATTCTGCAGGCAGGACTCCATCTCCTCCAGGAAAAGCTGGAAACCAACGCGCCGGCATGAGGGCTGCGGCCTCGGGGATCGGCTGAGCTCACCCCGTTGCCCCTTCCCTCCCTGCCAGACTGACCTGAGCGTAGCTGGGGCATTCCAGCTGGAAGAGCAGCTTGGTGACCTCGCACAGGGCTCTGGCCGTGCCCAGGCTGTCCCCGAGCGCGCCGCACAGGGCTCTGACCAGGAGGTAGCTCTCCACGGCTTGCAAGGGCTGGGGGCAGGAAAAGCCCCACGATTACAACTTGGACACCACCCCAGAGGGACTCGGTGTGCCTGGGAAGGCTGCTGGCCTGCCGGCCATCTCCCCAGCAGCCTTACCTTGCCCATCAGCTTGTAGAGAGCTGCCAGGAGGTGCAGGGAGGCTACAGTCTGCTCAGGGCTGCGCACGGCTGGGATGCCCGGCGTCGCCAGGAGCTGCTTCCACAAGGCAAAGGCGTCGTCCAGGCTTTTGGACAGAGCTGAAGGCACACCACGGGTCTGAGACAGCCTGACCCAAAGCCAGGCACTCCCGGAGAGCCTCTTCAGCGAGGGCCCAGACCCCACAGCATCCTCACCGGTCTCTGTCACCAGGTTGAAGGAGATGCCATCGTACAGGAACCTGTCCTCCAGCAGCCTGCCTTCATAGTTGAGGTCGTTGGGCTCAAAGTCATCCAGGCTCTTCAGCCCCTGAGCTTTGGCTCTTTGGTCCCTCTCTATGCTCTGCAGAGGGGGAGAAGGCAGCGGCGACACACATTAAGAGACACCATGGGGTTTCCAGCGGGGTCTGAGTGGCTTTTGGTGGCCCTGGCGCAGCGCTGAGCATTGCCAGCCAGGCTGAGGAGGGCACCCAACACGTGCGCTTCCAGATCGGGACCCGTTTCGGCATCCCACAGCCCCCCTCCACCGCCCCCCACCCACCTTCTCCAGCTTGGACTCCAGGGTGCAGATGTAGAGCCAGAGCAGAGCCTGTGCCCGGTCATCGAGGAGCTGGTCCTGGTTCTGGGCGCTCCTGGGCACGAGCTCCAGCAGCCGCAAGGCTTCACAGACTGAGTCCAGGGAGGAGCTGCCGGAGAGAGGGATTAGAAACAGCCTTCTGCCTCCAAAACCCCTGGAGCTTTCTAAGGGGAAAGACAGATACACCCCAGGACCCCAAACAGAGCAAACAGCCGGAGCAATAACACTCCAGATCCTTAAAACTCCCCCCAAGGACCCTCAAATGCTCCTTGGGGACTTGCAGGGACACAGGGAGGTGATCCCAGCACACTGGCGTCCACCCACCAGTCCGTCTGCTGGGCGTAGCTGTGGTAGCACAAGACCTGGGCCAGCTCCGTCAAGCCGATAGCTCGCTCGTGCAGGCGGCCGCTCTCCTCCGAGCAGATCTCCAGCAGATCGCAGAGGACGTTGTAACGTTCCTGCCCCGTGTCGGCTCGGACAGTCTTGTAGGCCTTCAGCTCCGCAAAGAGGACGGTCACCAAGGTCTCCGTGTCCAGGCTGTGCCCCTCCAAGCCTTCCTTCAGGGTCCTGGGGGAAACAGGAGCTGTAGGGGGGCTCAGCAGAGCCAGGCAGGTCTCACAGGGAGAAACATCCTCATTTTACCAGTTTGGGAACCACAGCTTCTCAAGACCCCCCACGCACCGGGCAGCCTTCCAGGTCTTACCGCAACCGTAACTCCTCGGCTCCCTGTTTTGCAGCATCCGTTTTGACTCTGACCCAGAGGGAGACGGGCTCTGCCAGCAGCTCCCCGATCCGGCCCCGCAGCGCGGCCAGCCACTGCACCACACACGCCAGAGCTCTCTCCAGCTGCCCCAGCTTGCGGTAGCTTTCCACCTGCAGCCTGAAGCATTTGTGCAGCTGCAGGGAGAGCAGAGAGAATCGGCTTTGGTGCTACGTGGGAGCAAACTCCCCACTTCCCACGTCCCGTACCGCAGCCCCCTTCCCCGCCTGGGCGAAGGGAAGACCTCAGAGCAGGGAACTGGGCTTGTTCCAGGAACAAAAGCTGGTCCCATCCTCTCCTTTGCTCCCCTGGCACCGGGATCAGACCATTCAGCTCAGCCCCGTTTCTGCCAGAAGCATCAGACAAGCGCTTACCCTCTCCGGGGGAATCTTTGGATACGCGTAGGCATCTGCTGTCTGCGGACTCTTGCAGAAGAGCTCGCAGATGGAGCTGGCCTCCTCGTGAAGGTTCTGGCTGTAGAAGATGTAGGCCAGCTTGAACGTGCACAACACTGCCGCAAGTGAAACCCAAATATTAAAGATGTGATAGAGAAAGAACGACCCCTCTCTCCTTATCCAGACAGGGACGGTCACCCTCTGCCCCGGCCCCACCAGCCACGTACTTTGCGTGGCAGAGAACCCCCTCGCTGCTCCCCAGCTACATGGACACCGAGCTCTGCGACCGCGTTCAACCCAAGCGAGGGCCAAGGAGCCGGGTTTGGTCCCACCCGCTGCAGCACTGACCGGTGATGTCGAGGTACTTGGCTCGCTCGCTCTCGGGGAGCCCCTCCAGCGCCTCCAGCATCCACACCACGCTCCTCCTGCAGCCCGCCGTCAGCCGCTGCAGACCCGGCCAGCCCGCCGGCTGCGGGGAGAGGGAGAGGGTGGCTAGCAAGAGGCCGTCAGGGACCCACAGCCCCCCCAGATCCCCCCCGGGTGGCTTGAGCAGCCCCTTCCAACCCCACCAATGTGCCACCTCCGAAGGGAGAAGCCACCCAACACCGCGGGCGTCTCGCCCACCCCCAGTGCCGGGGACCGTCCCCTCCGCTACAGGTACCTGGGAGCACTGGAAGGCGTCGTAGGCCACGCTGGCAAAGAGCTGGAGGCTGCGGTAGAGCAGCTGCTTCACCATGAGCTTCTGTTTGACACCGTCGGGAGGAACCTGCGAAGGGGAGGGAAGGAGAAAAGCAGCGTTCATGGGGCTCGGGCAGCACCAGGCGCTGCTGCTCAGGACGGGGACACCAGAGAGGGACACTCCATCGATGGATTAAGGGGAGCATCGAGCCCGGAGCAGGGTTACAAACCCTCCAGCTGCTCACGGAGGCTCTGCTCAACCACGCTACGTGGTTGCCCCACGCCCAGCCCCAGCCTCACCCTCTCCAGCAGCCGCTGGACAACGTGGCGGTGCCCCTCGGTGAAGGCACAGAGGCCGAGCACGTCCTCCCAGCCAAAGCGCTGCTGCCTGCTCCTCTTCACATAGTCGCCGAGGGAGCAGACGATGAACTGGCAGCTCTCGGCCAGCACCCTCAGCAACCGCTCCGAGGCCTCCGCCGCCGCGCCGAGAGCTGCCGCAGCCTGGGATAAGGGCGGCCCTGCGGAGCCAGCGCTCTCAGCCAGCACCCGGCTCAGCTGGATCCCGGCCTCCAGGAGGGACAGGGGGTCACTGAAAGATTCTGTGGAGCTGCCGGTGGTCCCCAGGAAGCCCCTCGCGTCCTTTACCGCCTCCTCGGCCTCCCTGTGCCAGCCGCTCTTGCAGAGGTGCCGGCACTGCTCCAGGGTGAGCTCAAAGAAGCAGAGGGATTGCTGGAGGGTGGGGGGCTCCGCCGCCTCCTTCCGCAGAGCCGCAAGTAAGCAGTCCCCGAGCTGTTGGCCGAGGAAAGCCGAGGACGGCGCCCGCTGGGCTTCGTACATGGCAGCAGCGGCAGCTGCCTGCTGCGCCGTCTGGGAGATGAAAAAGGGGGGCTGCAGCGGCAGCAAGGCCGCCCCATCCTCCTCCAGCAGCAGGAGGAAGCGCAGGGCTCGCAGACGGACCGAGAGGACGGCTCTACCCTCCTCCTGTGGCCGGTCGGGCTCGGCCAGGGTGTCCGCCCCTCTCCAGAGGACGCTGAAGCTGCTGTAGGCGATGGCTGTGAAGTCCTTGGAGGGCGCCTGGCCGGGGCGGTAGCTCAGCAGGCGGGCACGGAGGAGGTCGGCCACCCTCCAGCAGGCATCGCCGCTGCCCCGGCCGGCCGCGTTCCTCAGCAGGTGGTAGAGGATCTTCTCCAGGTAGAGGGGAGCGGGCTGCGGCACGGTCGTCAGGTAGCCCTGGCACGCTTCCTTGGCCACGGCCACCAGGCTGGTGGCGAGTGTCGGGCAGCCCCCAGGCTCGGCCATCCGCTCGACGCAAATCCGTAGGACTTTGTCGCAGATCTGGCTTTTCCGCAGGCGGGAGGTCTGGCTGGCGTCGGAGGCACCTCCCTGGAAGCATAAGAGGTGTTCCTGGGGAGGGGAGGGGGTCAGACCCCGGCACCCAGCCCAGGGCCCTCCGGAGGAGGGGTTCCCCCCACAGTGGTGGCAGCGGAGCCCCCCGGACCCTGGCTCACCCTTAGCTCGGCGAGCAGCTTGTCTATGCCCTCCCCGCTGTCCATCTGGGCGGCGAAATGGGCGCCTTTGAGGGGCTTCATCTGCAATGACAGGCTGGGCTGGGGTGGGCGGGGAAAGGTGTGGGACCCCCACAGCTCCCAGCCCCCCCATGCTTGCAGGCAA